TTGAAATACTCCAGCTGTGCACCCCCTCCAGTGTGCCCCCGAGAAGCTGGTTTTGGGGTAACGTTGATGAAATTGGGATTCCTATGAGCATATCCCAAGGGTAATTTCCTCTTCTCCCAGGGTACTTACTTTCAGGAAACTTACAGAAATTTAACTTTTAGATTTCTGCCCCATCTGATTTGTTTAAGAGATGCCCCAGCAGGAAATGCACAGAGGTAACATCACAGAAGCCTCGTTTCCTTGGGAATCCAGCCTAGAGAAGTTCGTGTAGCTTTACAACTCTGAAAACAGTTTTGGAAGCCAGAGTGCCAATCCGGTCTGGCTGGTGACTCAGCTGGGAGTATTAATATTTCACCATCACTCTTAACATTCAGGAGAAACTGCTACTTCCTCACAGCTGTAACTCTTCCTCTCGTGGATTACAGGCAAGCAGACGAAATGGTGCAAATCCCTCACCCAAGAGGATCTGCCATTCAAGTTAAACGCACAGAACACTACAGTAAAAACAGAAACTCTTCATCTACGCTAATGGTTTTCATCAAGGCAACTGTGTCTACACTAAAAGCAGGTTAAATCAAGCTTTAGGGAGCCAAAGATGCTCCAAACCCTAACTAGAGAACACCAAGTATGGAAAGCTTTGAGAAATTACCATCTGCTTTTTTTACTGCAACCTGTTAGTGAAATGTCCTAGGCAAATCCCAACTTGCAGATTCTGTTTGGGGTCATTCTGCTAAATATAATGCACCGAACAGCCAGCGAGCAGCAGAGGAGCCTCCAGCTTTTAGCACTCGCTGCGTGTTGACAGCAGCGCAGGTGGGGAACGTGTGAATTTAGCAGATACCTCTTCCTGTCTGCTAGGGTTAAGTAAATCCCCTTGGGGGGAGTCAGTAAAGGAGAAGTTACTGCTCTTGGAGTTTAGATCTAACTTAGCAGTTACCAAAATGTCCACAAAGGACCCTTAAAATATCAGACTGCTTTCATTTCCTCCCAGCTTCCATCTCCCATCTAGTCTCTCCCCCGTACTCAGGGAATAATCTCTAATCTTTACAGTAGTTTTTTTCCTCCATTACAGGGCACTTTTCTGCCACCTGAAATTTATGGAACAGATCCAGCCCGTACCCAGAACGGCCTCCCAAGTGCCCAGGGAGTAATTCCTTGTAGGAATTACTGCACTAGATTATCCCACCCTTTACCTGTGCATAAAAAGGCCATTACAAGGCAGCCGCTTAGAAGCGTGGGTTATGCCTTCCCTGACAATAAATGCACAGTGGATGTTTGTCAGCCCCTCATTAAAAAAGGCCAAAAAAAAAAAAAAGCACTAAAACTTATCACACAGGAAATTAGGGAGGTCAGGAGTGCGTAATGGCAACGTCACCCTGCTACCATGTAATGAAGACTACAAGCACATCACCTCAACTTAGCATTTTAAAGCTACTTATTTTGTGTTTAAAACAGCACCTGGGGTCTCTACAGACCTCAGCTTGCCCACAAACTGACGGGCTTTTTGGGGGGAAACATTAAGTTCTAAGGACAGCTTGGACACATAGTTTTCTTGTGTCTAGGTCACTGTGCACAGCACTGATACTTCCCACAGCTGTTCTTCAAGTTTAAAGTAGGCATTTTAGGGTGCACGGCACCAGTCTCCCCTGTATTCTAATCTCCTGGGTACCGCAGTGACCGGTTGTCTGCAGCACTGGGAACGCCGAGGATGGTCCATAGAAATGAGGCTGTTTCACTGCTCTCAAAGTTCCCGTCCGGGCTCCTCACCACACTGCACTGAAGACTCTGGCTAAGTCCGAGCCTTGGCACAGTCATGGCTGTGGGTTACAAACCTATCACTCAGATTTTGGAGGAAAAAGAAAGAAAGAAAAAAAAATCCCTGTCCTCACTAGACACTCGATGCATTGAAATGGTCTAAAAGAGCCCACATCACTACCTTAACAAATGCTGAACACATTCCAAAACATGCAGGAAAAGGGAAAAGGTTTTATTTGACTTCAGAGGCGAAAGCCCGTGAGGAAAGAGAGGAGAATTGCTCTGAACCTTTCACAGAGTGATCAGAGGCTACAGCAAAAACAAGCTGTAGTCCCCCACCAAAACGGGCACAGACGCAAACATGCACAGAAGCCTCCTGCTACATGGGAGGCAGCCAGGAACATGCACGGAGACAGGAATCTCTCTGAAGGCTGCAGGGGACAGCAGGGAAGCCACACAAGTGACAAGCGGCCTTGTTTTGCTGTCCAGCTCTAATACCCTGTTACTTGCCCACCATAATGGGTGGTTATGTAGCTGGAAAGCAGCATTTCTCTAGCCTCAAAACAGACAAAAAACCCCATACAGCCTACCAGCCAGCCAAGTTCAGTGCCAGAATTAAACAACACTCGTAGAGAGGAGCTCCCTGCAAACAACCGAGCCCTCTGTCCATCTGCCACTGTCTCCGTTTCTATCCTTTGCCTGACAGCAACACCCCTGATCCACACACAGTCTCACAACCCTCCTCCTCATACCAGGGCTCCCGGAGGCTTCATCACCCCTTAACCTTCTGGGCCCCCAGCATCTCTTTGAGCATCCCAATCTTCCTGTGCACCTTGGCACAGCTCCCAGAGCCTCTTCCAGCCCCTGCTCCCTATATGGCCCCTCTGGAATCTTCCCCTACCTCCCCCACCTCCAGTGCCCTAGTTTTCCAACCCTCCCCATCTTATTCCATCAACCTTCTCCTGTTTTCCTCTAGTGCTGCTCCCTCTTTGCTTGCCCCTCATCCTTCCCTCCTGCCCTTCAGTGCTCCCCCACATCCCTCCGGCAGACTCCATTCCTTTGCAGCCCGCCCAGGGCTCCCTTACACCCTCCCCATGTCCCCACATCCTTCCTGTGACCCTCAGCCTTCCTAAACCCGTCTCCCACCTGCCAGGGTCCACTACTCCCCCCCTCACTGCAGCCCCCCATACATCTTGCCCCTATCCGCCCCTTAACCCTTGTGTCCCCCTCCCCCAGTGCTTTACATGCCCCCCATGTCCCCCTACTATTGCTCCCCACCACAGCCTGCACACTCCCCATGACC